CGCTCCCCGCCTCGCCCCACCGCGCATGCGCCATCCGCCCGGCGCGCCGCCGGGAAGGAGGCGGCCACGCGCGCACAGCCCCACACACACCGCGCATGCGCAGGGCGTCCGGCAGGCGGGAGCGGCGGGCCGGGCCCTCGTTGCCCTCCGTAGGCTTTCCACAAAGCACGATTTGTAAAAAAATAACTCCGTAATTACAGCCCGGGGGGCTTCGGCTGTTGCCCACGGAGCAACGGCGCCTGTACCTCGGCCGTCGCCGCGACAGCGCTGCAACCCCACTGCCCCTCGGCAGCTGGCCTGGAAACCGCACCGGGAGGACGAGGACGGGGGCAGTGACTCCCGACAACTTTAGGAAAATAAGATTTGCCTTTCCAGAAGACGCTAGCCCGGCCCTTTGCCGAAAAGAATCGATCCCACGTTTATCTTCGCCTTCCCGCTCCCTGTGGCCCACCAGAGGGGCGACGACCGCTACGCCGGAGTTCGTCACGGGCTTGGCCTTCTTCGAACGACTGAGGAGACGCTTCGGCCTTAGTGGAAGAGATTAACGTGGCACAGATGAAGCGTTTGGTCTGATTTTTCCAAGTCCCCACAATTTCTGAAATGAGTGCGTGCTCATTCGGCTCGTTCACTGCGACACAACTGATGCTTGCAGCAACAGCAGCAGCAGCAGCATCGCTATCCCGAGCTGTTCCCTACGGAAAGATGTCGGGGAAGGGAGACCTCCGCGGGAGTCGTAGTCTCCTTTTTGAAGTTACATCCTGGTTTCTATTTCTCAGCTTTCAAATCCTGGTTTTTTTGTAAAAAACCTAATTTCTCAGAGAACAATACTACTTTTCAGACTCACAAAAATTATTCAGCGATAACAGCGAGGCACCAGAGGAGCACTAGGAAGCAGTAGCTGCAGGATCTCCATAACCAAGCTTAATTCCCAGGCCCTACAGGAATGGAAAAGTAAGACTATGGCTGTCACCAGCACTGCAGGTCCTTGATGCAGCATTTTTTTAGCTACAGGTTAAGTCCCAAAGACTTTCAGCTCTTTGTAATCACAGAGCTTCAAGCTTTATTACTGTTTAACTAAGATAACTATATGTAAAGATTCTGTTAATTTATACTTGCCTACCACAAGGCTGAACAAGAATATGGTACAATTAGGCCATCTCTACTACCCCAAGACAACCCACTCATCTCAAGTGTGGATTTTATGAGGGTTTTGGCAACTGTGTTTAAGACTCAAAAATACATTTGTGCTCCCACAGCAGCTATTTAAAAAAAAAAAACCCAAACGCCCCAACTCAGGCAAGAACCTCTTCCTCACCCCTCAGTTCCACCGGAGCTGAAAGGCTTTGTTCTTCAGCAAGTAGGTTGGCCAAGAGGCATCCTGCCAAAGAATCACAACCAACTATAACAACAGTCACCATCTCATTTTGGTTTTACACTCTGTTAGAACCTGCCTTCTACATCTGTATGTCACACTGACCAGGCAGTAGCAAATACTCAGGATTTTTTCCTGCTTACGCAAAGCAGTACAAGAACATTCCCTCTTTTAAGTGCTTCAAATAAAGAGACTTCTTCCGGCAGCCTGCTTCCTTCCATCTTCACAGCAGGACCAACTCAGCCTTTCTAAAACCTGCTCAGGTTGACTGCTGCCAGCCAACCGATCTGGGCTCCAGTCACCTTGTACTTTGTATTCTTACCAAGAATCTTCCTTTTTCTCCCTGAACTACAGCTCAACATTTTTGCACAGGCTTTGAACATCAAACCGAGGCTGAACACTTTAGTTCTTTATAAATCTTTATTTCATTAAATGTTATGGAACTCTAAATTGCTATGGCAGCCCACTGCAAAACAGCAGTAACCTGATCAGACTTCAGCCGACATGACACAGCAGCTACGACAGTCACAATTTTCTTGGACGCACGTATTTTAGGTATCAGATTTCCTGAAACAACAGGAAGATTGTATCAGGCGATATGCCTGCTTTTACAGTTTCAAGCAGTGCCAGGGAAGACCCCTCATTGGGATCTTCTAGTTCACCAACTGAGGAGTTCTGACCGCTCTTCTGTAAGCCTCGCCTATTTGCTATAGTCTGCTGAAAGCCACAGGCTTAAGTTGTTTCTGAAGACCACAACCTTCAGGGGCATTATTGCATGACTGTGTCACACTTAACAGCCTTGCTTCCAAAATAACTGCAAACGTTAACGTGATACTTAACTGGTTAATTATAACACAGATCTAGAAGACAAGGCATAGTGCCAATTCTGTTTTACTCCAGCATAGCTGCAGATTACCAGTCTGGTACTTCTCTCTGAAGAGATCCACAAACCATCCCAACATCACAGGTAATTTTTTTCACTGCTGTAGCGTACGTAGCCTATGAAAAAACACTTTGGGACTTCAAAGTAAGGAAAGCCTTTCATTTGTGTGTGAAGATGCAAACACAAGCTGAGTACACTACCCCTCATCATAAACAGACAGATTCCATCTGATCCGTTCAAGCTCCTGCACAGCCCCAAGCTCAGGAGGCACACCAGCGGAAGCTGCCCTCGGCTGCCTTCGACACCAGGTGTTCAAGGCACACCTTCGACACTTGCACCATAGGTGAAGCACTGATCAGTCAAGAACACCTGCCCTTGCTTTTCTTGCACATCAAGATGACTTTATTCGCTTACAGAGCAGATGTGCTCAAGACACACTCTCAGGCAGCTCCCTTTTCATCTGTGTAACTTCCTAACTGTTTACTAACCCTTAGTCAATCAGCAGAACAATGTAAGGGAATAGGAAGCGCCTGTCATACTAGATGGTTTTTTTATGTGATAGTTCTTAGGGTAACGACATCTATGAAGGCTGAAGTACTGCTAACAGACCTTTAAACTACTCCGGATTTGGAACTTGCTGTACCTTCAACAACTTTTGTGCCTCCTTCAGTGATTTTTAAAGAAAAGCTTTAACTGCATCAGCATAAATGAAACAAACCCACTGAGACCACACACTCCATTCACATGAACATATGCAGTTACACAACGGTCTGGAAGGACTGCATACTTCATGTATTTACAGTTTGATGCTACCGCATGGAAACTTAAGACAGTACAAAAGAAAAGTCCAAACTAAACTTTTTACACCTCCACATACCCCTTTTTAATATGTTATTTTGCACTGTGTACATGAAAACCAAAAATAAACAAAAGGAACTTTAGCCAAACTCCCCTTCCTCCTCCAGCTTTATTGATAGTTTAAAATTACATTTTCTATGTTCTAGGACTTCAATTGCTTTTACCATCTTACTTTAAAAACTGATTACAAGCAAATGAAACTCAGTTGTCTAAGTGATATAGTATACAAAAATAACATCTTGATTTCTGTGAAAATGCATTTATTTGCAACTCCTGAATAGCTCCAAATTGTATATGCTATGAGCACGGATGTCTGGGTTTCAGATTTACTTTGAAATATTTATTCAAAAGCTTCCCCTTACGTTCTATATCTCCAACATGAACATTCATTGACTGAATTATTGTTACTTTTAAGTTTATTCCTGATTTCTCTCTCTCTCTCTCTCATGGCCATTAACAGGCATGTGCATCTTGTTTGTTTACTCCCACTCAGCTATATGCTCTAGGTAGGGCCCGATACAGATATTACTTGGTGTTAACAGCTACTGAGGTCAGACAATCCAAGGCCATTGTAATAAAATTAAAGTTATGAGGAAGTTTAGACACTTCCAGAATTTCTTTCCTCCTGCATAGGATCACTTCCATGTAACCCAGAGAGGGTTTGCTGGTCTGACTCAACTCTTCCCACTCATCAATCCCTATTCACCAGTGGCACGGAAAGGGGGTTCTTTAACAAAGCATTATACATAACACCTCTACCAAACTAAACATAAACATTTTTGTAGTTAAATGCAGAAAGTTGATTTTTCCACCCCTTTCCTCCTTTTACACGGCAAGTAAAGCTCACTGGCCTGGGAGTAGCCTCTATCTGCCAACCTTTGGCCAGTGAAGAGGATTCAGAGAAAAATAATACAACCATCAATCAGAAAAAGGAGGGGCGACAAAGGAAAATAATTAGGCTGTAGCTTCAATTGTGCATTCCCGTGCAAGGTGCCCTGACTCGCCGCAGCGATAGCAGTTGACTTCACTGGTCTTGCTGCAGTTGATGGCTACATGGCCAGTTTCACCACACCTGGAAAAAGCAAATGATTTTATCAGAAGCATCCAGAACAGTTACTCAGAAAAGCAATCCTATTCTGTCAAGTACATGATCTACTTAAATTTCATGCAACAATGAGTTCCACATCCAAGACTTCTGCTTCAATGTTCCAGAGTTCTTTGACATGAGGCAATTTTCTGTCTTCACCAGAGCCAGGAACTGTCCTCCAAATGATCAACTCACATTAATCACTGTATATGCCAAAACCACCACACATCAAATAGAGAAGTGGTATGTTTGGGGTTTTTTTTTTTTTACTGTCAGGTTTTGCCTGCTCCAATGCGTCCGTCTACAGTTTAACCTTGTTTTGAAAGTAGTTAGTTTTAACTCAAGTGCACCGTGTTTTCCCTCTCCTTCCTCCACAGGAGGGAATCTTGGTGGGGGTGAAGAATACTGCTCAGGAACATGCTGTTTCTGGTATAGGCCTGCATTCAAAAACTAGACAACATTTTGAAGCTGGTGTTTAAAACTGATCTAACATCCCCTGTACGTTGCAGTTCCTATAACCAAGGCATCTTAAGCAAATTCCTGCTGGATGTGCCAGTCAACCCATTTGTACAGCTGGAGTTTGTCAGTTCCAGCTTAAGACACGGGGTACCCAACTCTAATTTAAGTTTGTGCTACAGTCAAGTACTTCGCATCACCTTCTGCAAAAAGATACAGCCCTTTCTCCTGTACAGCTTAAGTGATTTAACATCTGCATTGTTCTGACCACCTAGAGATGCGCATCACTGAATCTATTACTTGACTTTGCTAACAGGTGTTTAAGTCT